TCACACGGGCCTTCGGACAGCGTGTGCAGGTCGCACCTCCCAAGGTTGGGGTATGACAAATATGGTATCAGAGTAGGTCGTGACCTAAGAAGTCTGCAAGTTGTATCTAGTAGAGTCTTATCTATGGGTGTGTTGTGCACCATACTTACAAGCAGGAGGATACATGATATCTAGGATAAATACCCTTCTTTCTAATCTAGATCGTGCAATAGAGCTGAGTCATAAATATTTGCTTCTGATCCACCATCTTGTTTATGTTTATAGCAATGGCTACCACAAGACGTCAAACACTTGCTCAAAGATTTAATGACAAGGCAGGAGAAGGTATCAGTTAGGTGTCACTGGCCCCTATGGGTCAACACAGCTTCACGATGAGGCCGACACTCAAGCTTCAGGGACAGCACCACCACCCTCGGCACATCATAGAGAAGTTAATGTACCTCTTATCCATCCTGGTTGAGCCTAAATAGGATCAAGATATGAGAAATGCAGTACAATTTTTAACTCAGTTGGTGGCTTTTAGATAAAGCAGTCAGTATGAGAGTTCGAGATTTCATAAATTTGGACCCCCAGTATTCACAGGAACAGATCCAGACAAAAATCCTCAGAACTTTTTGGATCAAATACAACGGACTTTGCAAGTGATGCGTGCCACAGATACTGAGTCTGTATAGCTTTCCTCTTACAAGTTGATGGATAGAGATGTAGCGTGTTATGAGACTCGGGAACAGTTTAGGGGACCTCTTGCCCCAGCGGCAGGATGGAGGAAATTTTTTGAGGCATTCTTGCAGTAGTATATTCCTATTGAACTCCGCCGAGTTATACAAAATAGATTCTTGCAGTTAGAGCAAGGTAATATGAGAGTCTGGGAGTACAACATGCAATTCAAATCCTTGGATAGGCATGCTCCATCGGTGGTGGTCGAGATGAGTGACCGAGTATATCGATTCGTGGCTGGTTTGGGGCCGCATATGATAAATGAATGTACTATAGCTTCTCTAAAACTGACAATGGATATCGCTCGTATTCAAGCTTATGCGCAGAACTTTGAGGATCACAAGAGGCTACAACGAGCTGCTTGAGAGCAAGATCAGGGCCAACATAAGAAAAGCCAGTCTAAAGGGGATATGGGGGAGTCACAAGGTGAATTTAGACCCCCGTTTCCCTGGCATCCTTCTCATTAGGAGGCTAGTGCAACCTCATAGTTCCAGGGTTTTTGTCGTGATCTAATTCCTTACTCTAGTTCGGGTCAGAATCCCCGAGGGTAGAGCTCACAATATAATGGGGACCTTAATAGAATGAAGTCTTCGCCTTCGCATTATGGCCGAGGCGGTAGAAATCATTTTGGGCATTTCCGCCCAGGTTCATATTTGTGTTATTCTTGCGGACAACCCGGTCACATCATGTGTTTTTGTCCTGTGAGAAATATGGGTAGTGTGGTACCTCCAGTGAGATAAGTAGCAACTTCCTCATTTGACAGCACATCCTTGTGAGCAAGGTGTACGACTGCCAGTAGGAAGAGAAAGAGGTAGAGGTGAAATGTCTATGTCCAGCCCGAGTGGGCAACATCAAAATCACATCTTTGGGTTGTTGTGTCGTTATAATTTGGAGTCCTCACCAGACATGGTCATAGGTATACTATCCGTATATTCCATTAATGTGTATGCTTTGATAGATGCAGGTTCTACCTTGTCGTATATTACTCCATTTGTTGCCAGTAATTATGGTATAGTACCTGTTCTATGATAATCGTTCGAAGTATCCACGCTGGTGGGCGAGTCCGTGATAGTTAGGCAGGTGTATCAAGGCTGTGATATGATGATTCATGACCACCATACCTTGGACGATTTGAATGAATTAGAAATGATAGAATTTGATGTTATCATGGGAATGGCTTGGTTGGCCTCTTGTTAGCTACGTAGATTGTTGGAAGAAAGTTGTTCGCTTGAACTTTCCGGGCTAAATTTTTATAGAATGGGAGGGCGAAGTTGTAGCGCCAAAATTGAAGTTTATTTCTTACCTTAAGGCTCTAAATATGATCATAAAAGGGTATTTTTACCATTTGGTACGAGTGCATGATGCGGAGGTGAAGCCTCCCACCTTAAAATCAGTTCCGGTTGTCAGTGAATTTCTCGATATGTTCTCGGATGTGCTCCCATGTATCCTATCCTAGAAGGAGATTGAGTTTGCTATTGATGTGCCACCTAACATGCAGCCGATATCTATTCCTCCGTACATAATGATCCTTGCCGAGTTGAAGGATTTAAAAGAGCAGTTGAAGGACCTCCTTGATAAAGGCTTCATTCGACCCAGTTCTTCTCCGTGGGAGCCCCAATGTTATTTGTTCAAAAGAAAGACGGTTCATTGAGGATGTGTATCGATTATTGACAGCTGAACAAAGTGACCATCAAGAAAAAGTACCCGCTTCCGAGGATAGATGATTTGTTTGATCAATTTCAAGGCACTAAGAATTTTTCAAAGATCGATCTCAGATCTAGGTGTCACACCTCCTTTTTCCGCCCCCGCGAGGGGTGAAGGAGTTTTTTCCAATTAAAGGACAATCGAAACAGGATTTGTTTATTTGTTTCAGAGTCGCCACTTGGGAGATTTAGGGTGTCCCAAGTCACCAATTTAATCCCGAATCGAGGAAAAGAATGACTCCATATTATA